GGAATCCCTGGCATTCCGAGCCATCGGGACAAATCCGAGGCGTTTTTCAACAAGTCATGTTGAGCTTTTTCATTTTTAAGGGAGGTGGTTGCATATCAGCACATATTCTGGAGCTGAGGCGTTTTTGTGAAAAGCAACTTTTCATTGCCCAACACTTTTGGCACCACGACCAAAGCAGTTTCCTTTTTTTTTTTGGATTAGATGTGTTCCTCTGCCGGCCGGCTCTCTATTGGCTAGATCCCGTGTGTGTTGAAATGTCATGATAGTTTTTTTTTGTTTTTTTGGCAGGGACGGCGGTAGTTTTCAGAGCATGTTAGTTTTTATTAGTTAAAATTTTTTTTTCCAAAAATTATTTGTTTAATTTGTATTGGTTTTAGTATTAGTTTTAGTTTTTTATTTATTTATTTATTTTTTATCTTTACAAGGTAAAAAAAAACACCACAGTATTTTTTTAATAAAAGCTCAACAGAAATGTTATTTTAAAACACTTTACAAACCAGTAATCATATATATGTATATGTGTGTATATATATATGTGTGTGTGTGTGTGTGTGTGTGTGTGTGTGTGTGTGTGTGTGTGTGAACTGAAGATGATCGACATATTGAATAATTATTGTTTTGTTCTTTTTTTTATTAACAAGAATAAGTCTATTTGAAATTGACAGTAATATTAGGTTTGTGTTATCTATTCTCCAGCGATGGCTCTTTTCCCTACGACTCTGTCCCCTGGCAACAAAACACTAACCAGCCCCCTGGGTCATTGTCTGTGGTTACAACAGTTTGGGGCGTCACCAACACATCACAGAGCCAGGTAGGTCCCCTGCACGTTCGCCTCACTTCTTCTGTCTTGCTTTCACAAAACAATCATGATTTCCTTCGGATTCAATCCAGGTTCTGGGGAACCCAATGGCCAACAGCAATAATCCCATGAATCCCGGGGGTAACCCCATGGCGTCGGGAATGTCAGCCAGCGCAGGGGGGCTCAACTCTCCCCAGTTCAGCGCCCAGCAGCAGCAGTTCCCCAGCAAAGGTGGCTCCAACCAGCAGTACATGCAGCAGGGGATGTACAGCAGGCCCGCATACCCCGGAGGACCTGGAGGATACAGCAGCAGGTAAGAAAGAGGCTGAGTCAGTCGCATCCTCTTTCCAGGAGGGCCCGTGGGAGCACTGATGCTGCCCGCCATGCAATAACAAAATAAATCCTTAGCTGGACTGTGACAAACAAAAGCTTGCTTTTTAAACGTGTATTTTTCCCTGTATAGACTGCAATATATGATATGATTATATACAAATGCTTAGCTATTTAATGCTTAGCTATTTAAACATTTTAATCAAATTGAATTATATCAAAAATATATATACAGTATATGTATGTAAGGTCCAAATGCGAATAATATTTATATATTTTTTAATATTTTAAATGAAACCATTTTTAAAAGCCCCTTACTTGTATCCCATAAACTCTTACATTGAATTATAAAAGCGACATAAATTTAACCATAATTGTTTTTAAATGTCTTTTATTAACCCTTTCAGGGACAGTGGACAGCCCCCCCCCCCAAAAACAAACACAAA